ATAGCAAATAATGCAACACAACCGGTTGGATTCATGAATATGAATTCAGTTCCGATCGCTTCAATGAATCAATCAGCACCTGCTCCTGGATTTAATTACAATCAGTCACAACAACAATATCCATACAGGCAATATTGAGCTATATGATAAAATAATACAAATTTGTGGTAAAAATTTCATTGTCTAGATTTTCTTTTAACAAATAAAATGAGGATTTTTGCATCATTTTGGTAATTCAAACATTATTCAGTCCATTTATGTGTACATTTAGGTTCAGTACAAACATAATATAATCGCATATCATCTTCAGCTCTGCGTGATTGTCCTTGAAAAAATACTGCTTCTTTATGGCCACAACTTGGACATGGATGTTCTTTGGTTCGTGGTAATGTTGGATCGTGTATAACATCGGGAACGATTCGGCTCAATTCACTAGTTAAGGAAAAAAAATCATCAATAGAAGCATATGAAATTGAATTTTTTAATCGAAATTTCTTACTCAATTTCGTGCATAATACGATTCACGTATACACAACTATTTTCGGCCATTTGTTTAAAATCGCAATTACGACAAGCATAAAGTAAAACACGAGAATCCTTATCCTCTTTCGGATACAGCATGTTGTTACATTCTTGACAGAATTTGATGCCAACAAATTTTGGTCCATCATCATCACCAAGGTTTAAAATCGGCATGATTTAAAACAATTCAATTGTATACAATTGTCAGATGAAAAAAATCGAATGCGCTCGAAATTATTTTGAATACGGCAAAACACAATGCTCAATTCTTATATTTACTCATCATGTGTGATTCAGCTGAACAACATTTCGTTGAAATTGCAATGTCGTTTGAATTAAAATTTTTGGATTAATATAAAACAAAATTGACTTTTTAAAATTTATTTTTTCTATAAAATAAAATTTATTTATCCATCAAAGATAATTTTCAAAGATAAAAATACAATATGCCGTTCATAAATGATGTTACCGCATTGTTGTTCATATAGGACGTAACAGAGGGAAATAAGTTTTATCAATAAAAAAGGAAATGTCCACATATTCCGAAGCGGAGGCTCGAACTCCGGATCTTGGCATAGCTACCTCCCCCTACTTCCAGGGATAAGGTTAGTAATACTGCATTATAAGTACCACGCTGTAACCAACTCAGCTACTCCGGAGTATAAGGACCCTTAATTGCGGACCAATCTAACGCGATCCTTAGACCACTTAGATTGCAGTTAATGAACGGTAGCCATACAAAGTATTTGGCCTTGAATGATGGGTCAAATGTCATTTTCAACATTATGGAACAAGTTATCATGTACACAGCGAAAAAAGTAAGCAGTTTGCAGTTTGTTAAACCCTGCAGGGTTAATAAAAATTCAAGTTTGCAGTTTACCCTGTAATGAAGGGGCCGTTCATATACAATGTAACTTGAACTGCAAATTCGCGGTTTATATACCCTCCAAATTTGAATTTTTGGTAACCTTACAGTTTACCCTGCAAACTTGCAGCTTATGTAACATTGTATATGAACGCTTCACCATATATACCCTCCAAATTTGAATTTTTTGAAACCCTGCAGTTTACCCTCCAAATTTGAATTCATTTTGCCCTCCATTCACTTCATTAATTTTACCCCCATATTAGGATTAAAAATTTTTATTCAAAATTAATAATAACAAAATAGTAAATTAATAAAGCAATGACAATAATTAAAAAACCAAATTAAACATGATCCAATTTTTGTCTTGTAAATAGTGATCCATTTATAAATTAACCAATGACCAATGACCATATGTCCGCCAATCCAATCTTTATGATCCAAGACTAGTTGTCGATCTTAAATAAAGAAATTCGTTAGTTATTCCAATCATTTCAATCAAGAACCACATACCATGTAAATAAAAATCTATCGTAATGGCCATTCAGTTTTTCATTTTCAAAATGGATCTAGAAAACAAGTCAAGAAAATAGTTGTTAGTTTGGGTAATCAATTGAACAATTTACATACCATGATGATCCGTAGCAATGGTCACTGGTTTTTTGATTTGTCCGATTGGCCTGTTTCCAGATTCAATTTCCAAAATGTTCACCTAAATAAAAATAAATATTAGTTTTTTTGGTTCAATTAATTCATTCATTTGCTTACCATTATCAGTTTGAAATGTTCTATTTTAAAACAACACGCGTGTTTTAGAAATTCATCATCATCAATCTACTTATATATACAAATAAAGGTAGAATGAATAATAAAATATTCAGTCAATAAACTGGATATTTTATTATTCATTCTTCTTCTATGTTTGATTCCGATTAATGAAAAATCGATTGTATTGCGATTGTCGTTGCTATTATTTTTTTCTAGTCATTTCCTTTTTGCTTTTCATGTGAAATACACACTTACACACACTCATTTGCCATGCTGCGTTTTCGAAATTTTTTAGTCACCGACTAATAACGAAAGTGAGACAATTTCAATTTGTTTATGTTTTTATATTCATCATCAGAGTCCTGGATTAGAACGATTCTTAACCTGAGATTGTGGTTCAGAAATTTCAGTGATTGATATTTGAAATCCAGCAATGATTGATTTTTTTTAGTGATTGTTTTTTTTTACCATCGTCAATCGATGGATTCAAACCGGCACAGAGGAAGATTATTTATACATGTTTCAATCATATTGATGAAGATTTATTGAAAATTGAAGCAATGGCTGGTATTGTGTTAAAATCTACGGTCTATTCTTGAACCTTATGGTGCGACGTATAATTGTTCGAAGTTTCACAAAAATATTCCAAGTGGTCACTGTTCAGGAGCGATTTGAAGAAATTTTAAAAAAGTGACGTGTATGGCTCTAGCGGAAGTGGGTGGGGTTATAATCCCGGTGTTGTGTTAACGTGACTAAGACACAGTAAATATTTAAGACCAGCCCGGTACAGGCGCTTCGCGCCTGCCCCAGGCTGGCCCTGCGGGGCTTACTCCTGACAGTAAATAGTTATGTTTGTACTAAAAATAAGCAGGAATGGCCGGCTCAGCTTCGCCGCATTAAATGCCAAGTTAATACACAGTGCTAGTACACAGTGCAAGCACTTGGCGAGTGTAAAAGTAGCAGTTACCGACAAATCGTTAAGCGTCATAAAGAGATAGATGTGTCATGGTTGTTTATCATCATCATTGTTTATTTTTCATTTCTTAAACTTGTATAAAAATGATTATTTTATTGTTGAATAAATTTATAGTTTCTAAAAACTACAATTGGTAGCAGAGCGTGGTTCGATTTAACATCAATACGTCTCTTGTCTATTAACCTAACCTAACCGAAATTATATTCGTTGGCAATCACCATCACCACTGGCATTCATTTCTGGATTCGTTCGTGGCAACCTAACCGAAATTATATTCGTTGGCAATCACCATCACCACTGGCATTCATTTCTGGATTCGTTCGTGGCATTTATCATTGATAGATTAGTAACGATTAGTTAAGCTGAATAATTGATTAATTTATAATGTTTCGATGAATTTGATGAATTTTTTTTATTTCCGGAATTTAGGCGTCTTAACACTTTGAGTGACATCTCACTCAAAAATAGATTAACAAACAATGATAAAAAAACTCCTGAGCACTGAAAGGGTTAATAAAGTATAGTTCCAATTTTTTTCTTTTGAATTGTTTTGTAATTATTCATGATAGGTAATTATTGATCATCAGAATTATTTTATCAGAATATTCTGTGATAAAACGTAATGATAGAAATGCAATGTACGAACAAACTGAAAAAATTCAAAGTTAATGAATAAATTTATTGAACGAATTAAATTACTATAATAATAATAAGAGAAATCTATCTCTTTATGACGCTGGTCATCAATTAATTTTAATTTTAATTTTAAATAATTGTTTTTGTTTAACAATGAATGATGTAATCATCACCATCATCCTCATTATTATGTGTAAACGCCAGGATGGCATACGATTGACTCATTAACCTGAAATAGTTTTTGGATCGCTATGATGGAATTAAAATTAAAATGGAATGGATATAATGATTGCAACAATTCGAATCAATTTTATATTTGAAGCCGACGATGCTGCCATCTAATGTCGAGGAATTCTAATCAAAAAAATTTACTTCATTTATGAATGGTGACCATAACACACGCCACACGTTTTTTTTCTATTCAGATTTTTTTTTCTACTGAGCCAAGTCTTTTCCTGTTTCTGGTAAGCTGTGTTGTGTGCGTGTGTGATTTGATTTTAGCCTAAACACGTGTAATTTTGTGTTGAATTTTCATCAAAAATCAGGTATTTTTGTTTTGAAATTTTATTATTATCCATTTGTCTGATGAAAATTAATTATTTTTCAGCAAAAAAAATGACTAAAGTAAGCCGTGATACTCTTTACGAGTGTGTAAATGCTTTGTTGGCCTATTCACGAGGTGATGATGATAGCGGTGGCAAGAAACGAAAATTTCTTGAAACTGTTGAACTACAGATTGGTTTGAAGAATTATGATCCACAAAAAGACAAACGTTTCTCTGGTACTGTTAAACTTCGTAACATACCACGACCAAAATTCCGTGTATGCGTTCTTGGTGACCAACAGCATTGTGATGAAGCTAAGGCCAATGAAATTCCTTGCCTGGATGCTGAAGCATTGAAAAAAATGAACAAAAACAAAAAATTGGTAAAAAAATTGGCCAAACAATATGACGCTTTCTTGGCATCGGAATCGCTCATCAAATTGATTCCACGTTTGCTTGGTCCCGGTTTGAATAAGGCCGGTAAATTTCCTACGCTTCTTTCTCATAATGAGAATATGTTGCAAAAAGTGGATGAAGTGAAAGCTACTATCAAATTGCAAATGAAAAAAGTTCTTTGTTTAGCCGTCGCTGTTGGCCATGTCGAAATGTCATCCGATGAATTGGCACAAAACATCAATCTTACTATCAACTTTTTGGTGTCATTGTTGAAGAAAAATTGGCAAAACATTAAATCGTTGCACATAAAATCGACTATGGGCAAACCACAGCGTCTTTATTAATATGTATGGATTTTAATTACCAAAATTTATTTTTTTTTCGATTCAATAAAACTATAATTTAAACAAAAATCAATGATTGATAATATCACGTTGTTTTGATTATGTCAATGTCTAATAAAACATGACCGAAATTTCCTTTACGAAATTCAGAGATGAATTTTTCCGCTAATGGTATGTAATTAGGTTTCAATTCTTGAACACCTGTTTCTAGGTTCTTGAATGGACGAAATTGATTATATTTGATTGCTGCATGAGTCAATGCCTCATTGATGTCATTGGTAGGTGATGGTAACCCAAGAAAATCTACATAATCGAATCGTTGCTGTTTATTCAGCCAATACAAAAGATAATCTGCTATTAGCTCTTTGCCAATCACTTCATCAGATATTGTGCCACAAAGAGCGCAACGCATGAATTGTTCTGGTGAATTTGTTGGATTGTTTTCATTGCGATTGAAACTCGGTTCAAGAATGCCAGGCGTATCGAACAGGTATAGTTTATGCGGATAATCACAGATTTTTATTCGTTCCAAAACAGCTTTTGTCACACCTGCTTTTGCTCCGATAATGGTTGCTTTGCCAGCTTTGTTCAGGTAAACATTTCTCAATCGATTAATGATGGTTGATTTACCGACATTAGGTATGCCCATTACCAATAAATTATAGCTCTTTTCTTCTGTAGAAAAATCCGACTCATCAATCGTGTTTGGTATTTTTTCAATTGAATTCAATATGATGGACAAAAATTGATTACTATAACCGGCATGTTTGACATTGGCAGCGATCGAATCCAAAAAGACAATGTCTTCCAGATGAATATCATTCTTGTACATTTTTTCCATTAGCTGTGATCGAATTAGTGGTCTGAATTCGGCTGAAAGTAAATCTGATTTGTTTAGTATCAAAATGATTGGTTTATTCGACACAAGTCTTTTGATTAGATTTAAATTCCTTCCACTGAATGGAATACGTGCATCGTGTACCTCCAGAATGCAATGAGTTCGTCTTAAAACTTTTCCAATATCTCTTAATCCTAAAAAAGATATCAATCAATTTCATTTAATTTGATTCGCAGATTTAACAATGAACAACCAACCTTTTCTCATATGGCCAGGGAACCATTGTAATTTATGGTCCACTTGGAACGTACTTCTTGCAACAAATTTGCTACTAAACAAAAATTTTGAAGTTTGCATTTTTTTTTATATCAACAAAATAAAATTCTGATGATTCTATCATTGTTTGCTTGTCTTGATCATCAGATGGCAGGATTTCCCGTTCAACAGTGTTCGAATCGAAAATTGCCACAATAATAACTCTGTAAAATGACAAATGGAAATTTTTATTTTGTTCTGCCCCACAATCATCAAGATTAATGATATTGGTGTCGACCGAAATGAAAAACATTCATCAATTATTATCGTTTGAATATCGAAAAAATATCTAATGATGTTATTCATTAAATTAATTAACGCCCATCGATTATTCGGTAAACTGTGATCAATCTATGTTTTCATTCATTCATTCTAATCATTTTGTTTCATCATAATCATGTTTAGACGATTTTATTGTAAAATTTTCTCTTCAGAACAACGATCCCGACGACGAACATCTTCGATGATGAAAAAGAAACGAAAAACCGAGCCAACAAGGAAAAAGGAAAAACAATCATTATCATCATCATCCAGTTTGTTGATGAAAGGATCTTCCAAATCTGGCAATGTACCAACAGGTCATAATAGCTATCGACAATCTAATTCGGTCACTCCTTTAAACAAAAAACGATCATCGTCATCATCATCATCAAGGATTAAAAGTCGCCGTGACCATCATGACGATCATTTGAATGCAAATAAAAATGATGAGCATTCAAAACGATCTCGACGAACAAATTCATTGCCTAAAAGTAATGATAAATCTAAAAATGGATCAAAAACCTACGACAACAAAAATGACAATGGCAATCATATGTTTAAACATAATGTATCCAATTGGTTAACAAATTTCAACCATTTACATTCGCATACATGTCAAGATGGCCAGGTCGAAAAACAAAACAACATCCAAACGATTATACAATCACCGAAAAACAGAAACCCAGATAATGATCAATCGAATCGTGGACATGGTGGTCATTACATTCCATCTTCATTGCCATCTCGCAATGGTGGACGTGAATCGTTTATTCAGGTTCAAAATTTTGGTCAACAATTGTGGCCACATCAAGAACGACAAGTTCAACAACAACGACAACAACATTGTTCGACCATTCGGCCAAATCGATGCCAATGGCTATGTGAAGACAACTCTAACAAAATCATTAGGTCCACCACTGCCATTATCGTCATGGTCATTGTGCCACCCCGAATATAATCGTCGACAACAACAACCTAGTATTAATAGATCCGGTCTAATGGTAGGACGACATAAACATCAACCATTGCCGTTTACTTCTACTACTACGAACATGGATCAATCCATTCCATATTCATTAGTAAGTATTATTTTATCAATCGATCGATGTATCATTTTTCAATATTACGACAAATGAGTGATTGTGTGAATGATAATGATGATAATGAGAAAGATACATACAAACAATTATTCAAGTAAATCGGGCATGTTATTGTCTTTTTCCTTATAGAAATCTACAATTCATTAGTGATCACTGATCTTGGTAGATAGGTCATGCATTCATTTTTTCTGATTTAACTTGTTAATTAATCAATAATGCATAGAAAATTATTGATTTGAATTATTGATAATCAATGACCAATAACTCAATATGAATTCATTATTATTAACGGTTAATTATGTTGAAAAGTTTAACATTCAATTTCCGTATACATTTATTGATCAAGTTGACCATGGCCATCATATTTCGATTTATCAATGAAAAAAGGAGAAACTTTCTCTTATCTAAATCATGACCTTGTTTCATTTTATTCTCTTTATAAATATTTTCATTTCGTTCGTTTTTGAGGAGCCGAATCATTTTGCCAAAAAACAGCGATGGATGTATGATAAGATATCAACCACAAAACATGGACTTGATCTTGTTGTGTATTACATTCAGCTGTTTGTGTAGCTTGAATCATCGAAAGCGAAAATGAAAAACAAGTTCGATGCCAAAGTTCGGGCTAGAATCAATGAACAGGCGACTTGAATTTTTGATATAAGAATTATATGGTTCGAACATTGCTTTTTTTTCATTTATTAAACCACATGAACAACCACCACCATTACAATAATATCAACAAGAATCATATCATCGAATGATGGTATCACTTGGTCTCGCCCAATTCATCTATGCTTGGAATTTGTCGAGACAAACTAAACCAAATTGATCGACCGGCGGCTATACAGGTATATTAGCCAATATATTCGTGATGGTGATGGTGGTGGTGGTGGTGGTGGTGATGCAGGTGTTATTCACAAGATGGACGAGGACCTGTTTCATGGCTTTATTGTAGCTAATGGTAATATGTGTGAATGAATGAAATAGAAAACCTCCCCTTGTTTTTGTGTATAAACACAAACACATGCAGTGGACATATATGTACAAACAACGAGAACTGGTCTTGGGTCTTTGATTATTTTCTTTGTTCGATTTTTTTTTTTTTTTTTTTTTTGAAAAACATTTTTCTCCGCCATCGTCTTGGTTGTTGTCTTGGGTCTTGTCATATAGTCAAGTATTGAATTGAACATTTTCAATTTCATTTCTTGCAATGGGAAAAAATTTTCTTTATTTTTTCCATCAATGATCAAAGACTGACATAGAGTTCAAAAAGAGAGAGAGATTGAAAACTATAGTTTGGTTGGTCGTTTGGTCTGTGTGTGTTACCACTGTTCACATCGGCAGCGGCGGCGGCTACAACAACAACAACAACAAGTGAACTTTTTTCATTTGTTCAATATCATTACATTCCTTCTTTTTATTTCAGTCTATTTCTTGTTCAAAGTTGCCCTCTCTCTCTCTCACACACTGCATTCTCTTGTCTGACTTTTGGACACGATTTTTTGGCCAAAGACGATTGGCGAGAAACCATAGATTTGTTCGTTTCTGATTATTGCAATCGAATGATTATGCATTGGACATGCAGCCATATTTCAGCAATGATTTTTTTTTCGTTGTTGTTGTTCAATTCTAACAACAACAACAACAACAACAACAATTTTTCACTGCATTGTCTTTGATCATCATCATCATGAATTAAGTGTCTAAATGTGTATGTGTGTGTTTTGCTTTCAACACAAAACAAATATCTATATGCTGTTTTCCATCATCGGTAAACATTGAAACATTCCAAAGGATATTAAAAAAAAAAATCTCATTCATTCAAATTTAACACCGTATTGACGGTGTTGATCATGATGATGATGATGATGATGATTTTGATTGTCCACTTGTAGCGTCCATTCTCTTGTTTTAATATTTGTTTCAATCATCATTCATTATAATTAAAACGTTTTCTGCTTGTCATCAATTTCATTGTGCATGTTTGTGTGTGTATAATTGATTGTCATCATAATAATAAATGACATTTTTTTTCGACAAATGTGACATATGACATATTATTATTATTATTTATTATAATTTGTTCTGTTCTGTTATTTCACCACAATTCAAATATGAAATTACCAATCAATGTAAGCCAGTTGTTGATTGTATTGAATTTTGTTCATTACCATTTAATCTAATTGATGATTTGATAATTAATGAATAGGGCGGTGAACGTGTTGGCTGGGAATATCATGACATAACATTATCCCGTGTACCTGTGTATGGATTCGGTATAGCGGTCAGTGGTGGCCGTGATAATCCTCATTTCATGAATGGTGATCCATCCATTGCCATATCTGATGTGCTGAAAGCTGGACCAGCCGAAGGAAAATTATTGTAAGTTTCTTATCGTTTCAAATATTACTGAAATGAATCGAAAAATTCAATTCATAAAATTCAGGGTCAATGACAGAGTGATCAGTGCAAATGGTATATCATTGGAAAATGTTGACTATAGCCAAGCGATTCATGTGTTACGTGAATGCGGCAATACAGTCAATCTATTGATCAAACGACGTGCATTGATTTCGACAATGAATTCTACCCATTTTTCATCAGTAAATGATGCCAACAATAATAATCTGATTAAAATTACATTGACCAAGAATAGTAAAAAAGAAGGTGAGCATTATTATTGGATGATGGATGTTTACTTAAATAATCAAATGAAATCTTCAGATTTAGGCATTGTACTTGGCTGTAAAATTTTTATTAAAGAAATTGTTAATCGAAATCTAACCACGAATGGTGACAAAGAAAATCACCTACAAGAAGGCGATGTTATCCAAAAGGTATTTGATTCAAAATTATTCAATATAGTAGTATTTATTATTATCATAATTGACTTGATGATTTTATTCAGATAAACAATACAAATGTTGAAAATTTATCGCTAAAAGAAGCAAAGAAATTATTGGATAACTGTAAAGATAAATTAACATTAGTTGTTCGACGTGATATGATGATAAATCAGAATTTTCTTAATGAAAATAGAAATTACATTAATGGCCATAGTCGAAGCAATAGTGGCATATCGAACATGTTTCGACAACAACATCAACATCTAACACAGAAATGGCCACAAAATGGATATGAATCATCAGCACAATCACCATTGCCCAATACATCGCTTTCGAATAATAATGAACTGGCCAATGATAATGTTAATCATGGCCAATCACCATACAATTCATCCAGTATAGCCACTATGGCCAATAGTCGATCCACTAATGGTTGGAGTAATCAAAATCTATATGTTCAGCCACCAACCCGAATGAATGATTCATCATTGATTAATGGCAATCATGATACTACGAGAAATCGTGAACTGATTAATGGCAATATAGATCATTGTGAACCGTCATCCACTAGCAGTATGAATACATCCGAAACAGTCATATCTCCAACGGCCAAATTATCTTATCGTCCTTTGCCACAAAAACCAACGGCCACTACATCCTCATCGTCATCAATACAATTAGGTGAAACAACTGAATCTACAAATACGAATATGGTGACAACATCATCGAATGTGAATTCGAATCCCGAAACAGTTGTCGATCAAGAAATAAGTTTGATTCCAAAAACGCAAATAAACAATGAAATTCGATATATTGCATTCCAGAAAGAAGGAAGTGTTGGCATACGATTGACCGGAGGTAATGAAGTTGGAATTTTCGTGACTGCAGTACAGCCCGGTAGTCCGGCATATCAACAAGGATTACAGGTGGCAGATAAAATCCTGAAAGCCAACAATGTTGATATGAAAGATTTTACTCGTGAAGAAGCTGTACTTTATCTGTTACGAATAAAAGATCGAATCGAGCTTTATGTACAGAATTGCAAAGAGGAATATGAGAATATTGTTGCCAAACAAAAAGGTGATTCATTCTACATTCGTGTTCATTTCAACTATGATAGTGAAGGAAAAGGAGAACTCAGTTTCCATGATGGTGACGTTTTTCATGTTGTCGATACATTATTCAATGGTGTAGTTGGATCCTGGTTTGTTTATCGACTTGGCCGTAATAATCAGGAAATTCAGAAAGGTTCCATACCCAACAAAAGCCGTGCCGATGAATTGGCAACCGAACAGCGATTGGAAAATCGTTCGAAAAAATCCAATTCAGGAACCGATGATTTAAGCATAACCGAAACCGGTAGTAGTCGAAGAAGTAATTTTTTCAAACGTCGTCGCAGTGCACGAAGATCAAAATCACTTTGTCGTGAAAATTGGGAAGATATTTTATTTGGTGATGCTAATTCAAAATTTCAGGCCTATGAACGTGTCGCACTTAGGCATCCTGGATTCGTACGGCCGGTCATATTTTTCGGTCCATTAGCCGATATTGCTCGCGAAAAACTACTACGAGATTATCCGGATAAATTTGAATCACCACAATCGATGAATAGTTCGAATGAAGAATCGACAAAGAATTCAAAATTGAACAACTCGGGAATCGTGCGATTATCGGCAATCAAAGAGATTATTGAACATGGAAAGCATGCCTTGTTAGACATAACTCCATCCGCTGTTGATCGATTAAATTATGCTCAATTCTATCCGATCGTCATATTTATGCGTGTCGAAAATAAATCGATCGTCAAAGAATTGAGAAATCGTTCTTCCACAAAAAACACCGTGCATCGAAGTTCACGTAAATTATTTGAACAATCAATCAAATTGGAAAAAATATGGCATCATGTCTTTACCTCGTCCATTACATTGACAAGCGGTGGTGATTTATGGTATAAAAAATTACGTGAAATCATTGACAAACAACAGACCCAAAATGTATGGATGTCCGAATTTAAACCTGACGAATCCATTTCGGATGATTTTCTATTTCCGATGAATTCCATTTCTCGTCTTAGTTATGCATCATCACCAGAAAGTGATCTTGATATCTCAATGAATGATGGCAAAATGGATGATGATGATGACAATGAAAACCGTGATAAAGACAAGGACGGTGGTTTCCTATCATCGACCAGTGGTGGTCGATTGGCTAAATCTTCTAGCGATCCAAGTCTGGCAAAAATTGATCCTGCCTCAACGACAGCAGAAACGATGGTTTCGTTTGAAACCAACACACCGAAAGCTGATGAAACAAAATCTATAGAAAATCAATCAACAATGCCCATTAAGAATGATCAACAATCACCATCATCACCAAACAACAAACAGATTCCTTTACATTTATTGCTTAAAAAAGAATTGACCAAAAATAATTCATTCCAAAAACGTATGGAACAACAACAACAAATTGATAATATTCCGATTACCGAATATCCAACACTTAAGCTGGGCGACACTCAATCAATGTCACTGGATCGAACTGCAGTGGGTGTGAATGCTGAATCTCCATTACCTCCACCACCGCCGTTCCCTCCTTTGCCTCAACCAGCTACTTCGAATTCATCAAAACTTGCTGTCGAAATTCCACCACGAATCGATCGAAATTCCAAACCATCACGATTTCGATCAGCTCATGAACGATTATTTGGCTCAAGTAGTAGTTCCAAAGCAACACAGCCAGCACCACCTTTACCGCCACCAACCTCTGTTGCTTCATCGGTTCATAATGGTAGCAATGGACATCAATATGATGATTCGGATTATATCAATACAACTGTTTTCGAATATGCTACGGATAAGCTGCAAAAGATTGAACAATCAGTCGATCAACATATGATGGAACAAAAAAACAGCGTGTTGCCTCGTACTACTGGATCATTTATAAATGATCCATACAAATTCACTCGTAGTGCAGCTCAGTCAGTACAACCGAAACCATCCAGTTTAGAACGAACAAAAAAGCCGCTTCCTCCACCTCTTCCTGCTCCAGCAAACGGCAAAACTGAATCACCCGGATATCTTCAACATCCGACTAAAACTCCTCCTTCACCACCACCAAAACCGAAACTAAACAATCATTCATTGCAATATCAGATGAATGCGATGACTTTGAATGACAATCGACAACAAATGCTTAATAATGGCAGTAAACCATACATGTCGACAACAAACATGATGCATGATCGAAATCATCAACAAGGATATGGTGATTATGACAATATGCCACCACTCTACCCACTTAAAGTGCCACCGAAAAGAGCTTTGAATACGGTGGCCACAAATTCATCTGAAATGTCAAATGGGCCACCTGGTTATTACCAATCACTACCACATTCGTCTTATCATCATGGCTATCCGACATCAAAAGACCACTCCATTCATCAACGATATTCATCACATGCTGAAACCATATCGAATTTTATCAATGGTACAACCACCTATAACAATACAGATATGAATGGTAATTTAAATATGAAGTAAGTTGTTCATTTTATTTTTTGATCGATTGTTTTATTAATCTAATTATTCTTTATCACCTCAAATAGAGACAGAACGGCTTATATCGATTCGATGCAAGGAGTTAAAGCGAACAAAGTGGCTGTTCATATGGATCCAAGTGCCAATCATTATAATCATTCTCAACCAAATTATGACAATCTTTGTTATCCATCGTCGTCTGGTCTGTACATGAATTCGACAGCGAATTATATGCCACCACCACCACCGTTGCCACAGCAGCAGCCAAATGATAATACATATCTGAATTTTCCATTTAATGTTCGAACATTCGAAAATCCAGTAGGCTATGATCATCATGGACCGATGGCATCTTCAATGATGAATGATATGAATGGTCATAATGGACAGCCATCACCTTTACCACCTCCTCCACCATTACCAACATATTCTCGTAGCAATAATCCAACACCAAATATTGTACAACCGATTCCTCAACAGGCCAGACAATCTGGTCTTTATTTAGATCTATCTTCGAATCGTGAGAATCGAGGCAGTGCATTCGAACTTTATCAACGCAAGCCAATGGATACATCATCGGCACGTATATCGACTACCACACCTGGTTCTCCAATGTTTCACGGTCTACCTCCTCCGCCACCATTGTTGCCAGTTAATGACTTCAAGTAAGCCACTTCGATCTATTGTTATAGTTTTTTTTCCTATCTTATCAGATCGATTCGAATGTATTAGCCAATGATGAATAATATATTGATTTTGTCCGAAATAAATTAATCTTTCAATATTCAAAATTTCTTTGTTGTATTATTTTGATGTTGCATGTGTGTTTCCTTTTTCACTTTCCTTTCTCTTATGAAATGAATAGCTAATTCTCTTGATATTTTCATCATTTTTTCTGGGTTATTCTTTTTTTTGGGTTCTTTTTCTGGTTGCGGGATATGGGAAATTGGTATTGCAAATAAAGCCTTGCAAACATGTACACCAACATAGACGAAATCAATTCGTCGTCACAATCATCATCGATTACACGATTTGCTCGTGGTACTGGTGGTGGTGGTGGTGATAATAATACCTTTTGGAATGGTAACAGTAATGGTAGTGGAGCGAAATCAATGGATCAATCGACTGTAATTGCAACAGCACGTGGTATATTTGGATCCGAAGGCGGCTCATTAGTGTCGGCCGAAACTGGTGTCAGCATAATAATACCTCCACATGCTATACCTGAAGGTGTTACACAGGAAATCTATTTTAAGGTTTGTGAAGATAACAAATTGGCACCTCCACTTGATCGTAACTTGGGTTAGTATTCATTACACAATCTCATTATCATTGATGATACTAAATTGTGGATAATATCTATTAGGTGAAACTTTACTCAGTCCAACTGTGATGTGTGGTCCTCATGGGCTACGTTTCAACATTCCAATCGAACTTCGTCTACCACATTGTGCCATTGTTAATCCGGAAAGTTGGTCATTCGCACTCAAATCAAGTGATATTAACAACGGTAAGTTTCACACTATATTAATATATTATTTTGATTCAATTTGAAAAAAAAATTTGATGCAGGCGAACCAACTGGCTGGCGAAACATTTCATTAAACAATGAATGCGATCGAATCAATGCAAACAATTTCAATGAACAATTTGTCTCTGTTTTGGTTGATCATTTTTAATAAATCAATATTAATCAATTATTTTATATTATATGATGATTATTCAACGAAAAAGTTATCAACACACATTTAATTTGATTTAAATTACAACATTCAGTCAAGAACAACAACTTGTACTTGTCGTATGGACATTACCATTACCATCATCATCATCATAAATGGTATGATGTAGTTTAAAAGCTCCAGCATTGGCTGAATATGCTCCAACAGCCAATTTTTCACTTATATCTGACCACATTTCCTGGATATTTTCATTGGTTTTGGCACTAATTTGAAAGAATCCATTTATTTTAGGAAATTGTTCGACGAATAATTCAATATCTTCATCGCTCACTTGACGTTGATGTTTTAGGTCGGATTTATTTGCAATTAAAAATATTTTTGCATTCTCTGCCATACTCAATATTTCGAGCAGATGATGTGATACACTATGAAATGTTTCCAATGAACTCATATCGAACACTAATAAAGCAGCTTCAGAAAATTTATAATACGAATTGGTTATACTAGCCACACGTTCCAATCCACCAGTATCCCAAAGTTGAATTTTAATCTTACGAAATCCATTGCTACTATGTACTTCGAAATCACGGCTGTATTGATCCAATCCTGTAACAAACTCAATGCATTATTAACAAACAAACAGAAAAAAAACGTCACAAAACTTACCAAGTGTAGATTGTCTTGTTTGAGTGCGCGATAATTTTGATGTATCAATGAATGTATCGTTTAGAAATCTTCGAAATATTGATGTTTTTCCAACACCATAATCACCGCAGAGAATAATTTTGAATTCGGGTATGGCTATGGCTGTCATATTGTTGTTGTACGAATCACATCATATCATATGAATATATGAAAAAAGTTAGACTTAGAGATATGGAAATCAATGAGATCATTAAACTTTTGTTGAATACGTTTTTGGACTTTTATCAAAAAAAAAAAAAAATTTTTTCATTGAAATGACAGTATCAACAAACACTGCCAAGACCATCAATCAATCCCCAACAAACAAAACTTGGAAAATGGCCCATAGGTGGCGTTACCGTAAATTTTAATTGTGAGAAAAATTTTTTGATTATATTAAGTTTGGTTATTATCAGAGTTTAAAAGAATATATAAGATACTATACTAATATTCGAAACGATTAAATTAATATAATAATATAGTATTATAAATATAAAAAATCAAATCAAATTTCAGTGACAGTCACATCGACAATTTCTGTTTCAGCATCAGATGATGATGCGCAATCATTATCATGTTTTTTAGCAACATTTTCAACATTCCCTACATCGTCGATTGGCTTAAGTTTTGAACGATTTCGTAATGATTTATACAATATTTTATCAACATAATCACGGTTATTTTTTTCTTCACGTTTAAATTTCTGTTTCAATTGTTTACGATCACGATCACTTTCTTTGTAGAAAACGGCCTTCATTAAACTGAAATCAGTGCCCACAATTTCTAACGCTGTATAGAATGATGATGTTTCTTCGGTGCTCCAAATACTTCGTGGACGTTCATGTCGACGGAATGAATTGTAAGTAGTAGATGATTTTAATTTCATTACTGGTTTATCATTCTGCAAATTGGTTTGTGAATCTGATTTATTGACAACAATGTTGCCTTTTTCATCGATAGTCAACATGCCATCGGTGTTGGATGGAATGTCAATCTTTTCCGAATGAGTACTACTGCTACTTGATGTAATCTCTTGTTTGTCCACTGATTGATCAGCAATCGGCATATCAGCAATCGGTATATTCAACTGTTGAATATCATCGATAACTTTATCCTTGTTGCTACTTTGATCTGAACTAATTGAACTGGAACGACTCGAAGATGTTCGACGTTTGATCGATGGAGATGATGGTGTCTTTGGAGATGCAATCGATGTCTCATTCTGCTGTTCTTCATGTAATTCACGATTCTCTTTCTGAAATACAGTCTCTGGTGGATTGTAGAACAATAATTCTCGTAATGGTAACTGTTCTCGGTCAGAATTTATTTTATTTAATGTTCGACGACGTTTTCGAACCGGTTGTTCCGGTTTTATAAAAGACATAGATAAGATTGATGATAAGTCTAACTATAAACTTTGAATGTATGATTTTTTCAAATTTATTTTTATAATAACCAGTAAAAATTCATGCAAGAATGACAAATATTTTGGGTGAGTACAAAATAAAAATTGACGCAATTTTGGTTCTGTATACATGGGGTGGTGTTGTACTCGTCATATACATTGTAATATACCATTGATTTTAATTTATCAATCACTAGATGGCGCACATGGATTTTATTTATTTTTTTTTAATTTATTAAAATTCCATTCAAATCATCAATCATCAGTCATCGATCATCAAATCATTTATGATCACTAATCAAATGAATAATAATGACAAATTCATTTATTAAATATAATATGATGATTAACAATTACTAATTTTTATTTTATTTTTAATTTTGATTGATAATATTATGACTATTTTTTTCAAATAAAAATGGATGGCTGAATGTATGAATTGATTAATTAATTATATTAATGATTCAATTTGATTTGATTGTTGTGGATTTTTGGCTCTCCAATTCAGCTGTACTTGTTGGCTGTGGATCTGAATTGGTCACTTCAATAATATCTTCAACAATGACCACAAGATTGTCATCATTGTTACCACCATTACCACTGAAATCGATGGGAACAATTTTTTGTTGTTGTTGTTGTTGTGATTCATTCTCATTAGCATTGTTGTTGTTGTTGTTGACATGAAAAGTCGACTGGTTATGTTTACTACTAGAATCATTATTATCTTTTATTTTTTTATCATCAATTTTGATCATCATTTTGTTGGCGACCGGTTGTTCCATTGTTGTCTTTACATTTCGACTTAGATCGATCAAATCAGGCCGATTTTTACCATGATTATTATCTTGCAGCGATTTCGTTGACAAAGGTGATACAAGAGTCGAAATGGCCAGGAATGATCGTTTGTTTTTCTTGTTGTTCTTTTTAGCATTTGAATCATTTTCCTGAGTTGATTTCCTTTTCGATGAATTAGTCGTTGTCGTTGAACCATGATTGATGTTTTGGCTTTTAGCAATATTCTCTCCATAATGTTTCATATACAAATCCTGAGAAGTTCGGTGATCAAACATAAAATGATTGGAATTATGGTCACTCAATGTTGATTGTTTGAATGGAGAAAGATTCAATGAAGGTGATCGGAATGTGTTGACTGGATCCATGTTACGATAGAATATATCTTCAGTTATTCGATTCTTAAAACTTTCAAATGCTGTAATAGATGATGTTGGACTGCCACTGTTTGTCATTAGATGTGATTGTTGTCGTGATGATTGAAAATTCATTTCTTCAGATGTTGAATCTTTATGTGGTGGCTGCGTAGTTGTTGCAAATCGAAGCATTTGATTTGTACTAGAGGGACCAAAATCGTTGATCATACGGCCAAGATAATTTGGCGATTGTGGGCAGCATTGCTGTGGTGGTGGAGGAGGAGGAGGAAATAAGCGTAAATTTTGTCCTGCAAAAAAATTGATCATTACAACGACAAATTGAATAATTCAATGTAAACAACAATTGTAAACAACAACATACCCATGAGATTTGGCAGAAAGGAAGGAAAAAAACCAGGCATTACGGAATTCGATTGTTGTCGAATGATGGTTTTATCTTTGGATAATGCACCATTCTCATTCATCGCCTGTGTACTGTCCGGGCTAGAGTCTCGAAGATCCATGAATGATCGACCTGTTGGTATCGATGTTGGTGGCGGTAATGATGGCCAAAGGAAGTTGGCATATGGCAATGTGGCCCTCACATTACTTGCCATACAAGCTTTCCACATTATTTCGGCAAGATTATCCGATGTTGCCGCCATAGTAGGTGCCATTAGATTTGCATTGTCTACAACATTGGCACGTATCGGTCCATAAGAGCTAAAAGCTGGACAAGAATCTCGAGCATTATTACCGGTTGATAGTAATGTACTGAGAATAGCCGGATTCGACATTGACATGATAGATTCAGCTGAACGATTTGCAGCCGATGAAAATAGTGGATCAGATGATGAAATAATTCCAATGTTTGTAGTGGTAGCGATAGGAATTCGATCACGATTATCTTCGTTTATTCTGGCCGTCGATGATGATCCATTCAAAGTATAGCTGCTGCTATAAATGGAATCCTTCGGACCAGAAGTTGATGAATTAAGATTTTGTAACCAACGTTGATTCATCTTGTCCCGAACAAGTTTAGCTGTAGAATGAGGTGAATGAAGATGATTATCATAGTCTAATAGCAATGATGTATTTATATCGGTGGTGATCAATTGATGATCAATGTTTGAAAAGCAAGCTTTTGTGGGCTGCGCTTGTGGCGATGAAGCCGAAGAATGAGACAACGTTGGTGAGGTTAGACGAGATGAGGGTGGTGACGATGGGCAAGGATTAACCATTGATGATGACTTTCTATTGGTTGATGATGAAGATGAAGATGATGATGGGGAACCCTTTGCCGTGGTGGTGGTGGATACCATAGAACTGGAGAATATCGCTGCAGCAATCGCTGATGATGATGATGATGATTTCGATGTAGCCGATGTTGGTGGTCTCGTCGACATTGTTTCCGTCGACTGAATGGTCGGTTTGAATGTTTTCGTTGTGAGACCACCGAAATGTTGTCGATCATATTGAGCACTGTTGTAGCAAGAATTATGATAGCCATCGAATAAGAAATTCTTGATTATACCGTTACGACTGCTGTCCACTATATCATTCAATGATGATGATGATGATTCGGCTACGGGAGAATTTGCATCGACCATTATTTCGGATGTCAAACTCATAGTTGATTTCGTGTTGATAGATGATTCGATTAGAGTTTGAACATGATGACCACTTGAGTATGGAGGATGTGCAAAACTATGGCTAACATCATTCGAATTGGAAGATGTAGATCGATTGGACATGATCGATTGTACGGCTACACTGAATGGATATTCTCGTTTATTATTGTGGTCACAATTTTCCTCTACGACTGATGAATCATTTGATTCACGAAGATAATCATCATCCAATGAACCTACATCGCATTCAATGTCTTCATCTTCATCATCATCATCATCATTTTCATCATCCATATGATCATCATTGTCAATCGATTTTGTAGTGTTCAACTCTCGATGACAAGAATTTTGGCAGGTGCCATTCTTTTCATCATTATTGAAATTATTTTTTACATTTCGTGATTTAACAGATGTGCGATGATTTGTTGTTTCACGTTTAGTTCCATCTTTCGTTATCGTTGATCGGCCAGTATTTTGATTAGAAGGTGAATTATGATTACTATGACGATGATGATGATGATGATGTTCTTGATTTTTGGTGAATGAATGTAATGTTGAAGTCATGGCTCGTTTGCGACTTCCGCCATTAAACATTGCTTTCACATCTAAAATTGAAAATTGAAATGTCAAATGAATTCATGCATAATGCAATGTTTGTTTGTACTAATGATAATTACCTTCCCATGCATAGATTATATGATCCGAAGGTTCAGGATTACCCACCAGTTTGATATGACGACGCCAACTTGTTGTTGTAATGAATTGAAATTGAAATTGAATGGAATTGAATTGAATTCAATGAAAAAAACACACATACCTATTAAAGTTGGCTGCATCGGGTTGAACGTATTTGGATGTGGGCAAACGATGTGAATGGAATATGAATTTATTTGGTGAAAAAAACAATGCACAATAGCTGCATTTTATACATTTAGCTCTATTCCAACCAATCAACGAAACAGGATTATTATTTTTATTTCATATGAGATTGTCGGCTCTTCTTTGGTGGCCTAACCAAACAAAAAAAAATAAGAAATAACCAACTAACCTTGAACTATTATAACGAGATGGAGTAAAACTACCACGACAGCCCCAAGCACATGAATGATAAACATCGAATGAAAATGATTCGGGCAACTTGGGTGGTTCAGTTTCCGCCAAAAATGATTTACAAAGACGTTCGGCTTCACGTTTCGTAATCATACCGCAACGACGTGATGATACGGGCATTGCACCGGCTCTTCGAAGTAATTCCAATTGGACCGGTGTACATTGAACACAAGTGATGCCTAATGCAACTCGTCTAATGATTGATTGATTGATTGATTAATTGTAGTATAATTATGGAAAATCGTACGAACCTATTGTGAATTTCATTATAACTAAAATTTTTCAACAATGTATTGGATATTTGTGCCAAACAAAGCCGTTCTTGGCCATCCATCAATAACGATACAATCGGTATTCCATATAGCATAACATTACGAACTTCATTTCCGACTGAACAATTACTACCTACTACAACCAATGGTGAATTATTTGGACCATTCATCGTACTGTTACTAGTATCGTTGGTCTTCAAACTAGCAGCCGTATTCGATCCTGATGTTGGTGATGATGTTGATGATGATGATTCTTGTTGATAGGTTGGTGAATCGATACTTTTTATTATTATTATTATTGTGATTTGCCGAACTAAAGTGATTGTGATTGTGATTGTGATGTGTGGTTGCTGTTGCTGTGCAGATGTTGTGGTTGTTGAATGGAACAAATGATTACTGCGTGAATGATGATGATGATGATGATGACCAGGATGTTGAAGCGGAATTGTTGGTTGACTACTGCTGCTGCTGCTGCTGCTGCTGCTGGCCACTGAATTTGATCCTGGATTTGGATCCGTAAAATGGTCTGATTGTTTGTCATTTGTTGTTGATGGATGATGAAAATTGTTGTTGTAAACGCTACCACCACCACCACCACTGTTACTTATAGTTTCAGCTGATGAAAATAACATTGCTTCCGATTGCTGTTGTAATTGACTAGATGATGATGATGGGAAATGATTTTTTTGTTTCTAAGATGATGATGAGGATGAGGGTGGAAAAAAAACATGAAAATTGATTGTTGGATCATTTCATGGATTGTTTATTTTTGTTTTAGTAAATTGTGTATAATTAAGTCAATAACGAATAATAAATGTCTTTAAACACTAAACAAAAAGAGATATAGAAGTGGCGACAAAAACAACAACATCATCATCATTAATGTGATTGTCATATATACCCCATGGTCCACCACCCCCCCCCCACCACCACGCCAAAACATTCGATTTATTGTCTCATCATCATCATTACATCTAATAGAATGTGTGTGTGTGTGTTACAATCACTTGGATTATATTCGGATTGATCAATATAATTGCCATTTTCCAATCTCATCATCATCATCATAATCATTGTTTTTGGTTGCTGGTTGAAACAAATCCTAACCTATTCACAATTGTTGTTTTAAATTACACCCATGAGAATTTTTTTTTTTATTATTATTATCATCCATAAATGGATAAAGATTTTATCTTTATCTTGAATGGTAATAATAATAATAATTATATTACAATTGTCGAATCTAATGTCTCATCTGGGATCCTGGAACATTCAAAAAATAATCTTTATTTTTGTTGTCGAAATTGTTTTTTTTGGATTAGTAAAACCGAGCTAATGTTTGTTGTTGCTGGCTACTAGTGGATACTAAAATTAAAACAAAATAAAATCATCGACGATAGTGTTCGATCAATCAACATTTTGCATATCGATAAAAAAAAATTCAAACATGAGAATCATTCCGATAAACCGATTAAATCGATCGATCGATTAATATGTAAACAAAATTTACCTGAATAGAATATGGTTGATATGTGCTTGTTGTTGATGATGAGGATGATGATGATGACGGTGATGATGGTGATGGTAATGATGAATTTGATGGCGAACAATTAATAACTTGAGAGCTATGATGATGATGATGATTATCCACCATGATTCGATTATCACAATTTGATTTTCAAATGATTACTATTCATTTTTGTTTCTAATATCATCATTTTCAATCTGATCAATGATGATTAAAAAATGAAAATAATAGCTACCGTTATCATGAATGGTCAATTAGGAAATGATCCAAACAAATCGATAGCTTCGACCAGCCAACACAAACAAGATTGACTAACTACCACTACTACAAACTAACATTAGTTTCATGTTCCAGAAATTGTTCCAAAAAAAAGTGAATTACATATTCACTTTACCGTTTGAATTTGTGTGTGTGTGTTATGGTTATTGAAGAAGGCAGTCAGTTTGCTATATATATATAGAGGCAAAGAGGTGTACAGTGTTGGTGTGTGTATGTTTGTTTGTTTGTTTGTTTGTGACAATACTGGTTATAATAAATTGATTGAAGTGTTAAAGTGTGTTGTGTGTGTGTATATATGGTTAACATTACCCGAACAATGAATTGTGTTCACGGACCGCCTCTGTTAATAGTGTTCTGTAATATTATTGGATCAAATTGACACAAAGCGGCGGTACAAAATTTGGATGGGATGTGACCCGGTTATTTATCCATAAGAAAAAAAAAAATGGCCAATGAGTGTGTATAGTATAGCCAACAACAAATTCATTGACATTGCGTTTTGGACGTTCGACCAACACCGAATCAGTTATCAGTTTGATTTTTTTTTTTTTTCATTTTTTGATAGACCAATTCAGTGAATATATCGTTTTTTTTTTTTTCCTAAAAGTTTTCTTTATATATTATTTTATTATTATTGGTCGTCTCATTTTCCATAATGATGATGATGATCAATGATGATGATGATGATGAGAATGTGAACACAAAAAAAAAATGAAGAAGGGGGGCCATTGATTGCATTTCATTTAATTAATCAATACAATGTTGTCTCTGTGTGTGCTTGGTGTTTTTACTCACATTTATACCATCATTATTAGTAGTTAATGTTAATTCTACTATCCACACATACACACACACACACACAAAATGTACGGCAATACGGTAATAATGATGATGATGACTATCATCATCATCATCATCATTTGGTTTTCTTTATCGTTATGGATGGCTGCTGGTAGTTGTTTGTGTTGTTGTTCTTGGTAGCCAGAATTCATTTCATATAATAAATTATTGAATTTAACAACCAGAAAAACAAAACAAAAAAAGGAGAACAAAAAAAAATTCAAATTGAAATTAATTAAATAAGATTCAAATTCAAAAAAAAGTACTGTGGATTGTGATGTAATAAAGTGAAGAAAACCATCAGGACAAAAATTTTTTTTTCCATCAACATTGATTTTGGGTATTAATTCATTAAAGGTGATGATTTCGGTACCTACCTCTCTGTGGATCGGTCCTCATCATCATCATCATCATCATCATGTTCATTGGTTCAATAAATTGGTAAATTATCCAAACAAAAAAAAAATTGAATGCTTGAAAAAAGTTTTTCTTTTTTTTTGAACAAAGAAAACGGGAATAAAAAAATTTTTTTTTTTCGGGAAATACAAGGTAAACATTTGGTAAAGTTTTCTTTCTTTCGTTTTTGATTCGTTGATTGAATTGAATTTGTAATGAAGTGAATTTGTGTGCATGTGTGCATGCTGGCTGAATCAAGAATGAATTCAAAAAAAAAAAAAAAATTAATTCATCAATGATGATATAGAAATTTATTCTTTCAGAATTTTTTTTTCAGAATTCAAAACAAAAAAAAAGTGATGATGAAAAACTTTTTTTCGAAAAGTAAATATTAATATATATAGTTTTAATTAATTAAAATTCAAATTCAAATACAAATTATAATCACATACACAATCGAATGTTTCAGGTGGTTTTTTTCTTTTTACTTTTCACCATTCACAAGAACATTTACAGAAACCAAAAATAAAAACTGATCGGATCAGATCAAAGCTGATGACAAATTCAACGATTTTTTTTTTGAACAAGTCAAAATGAACGAGATTAAAATGACTACTGGTTGGTTGGTTCAAACTAGAGTGAATTGATCCCATTCTAAATTGTTCGCACAGACACACACACACACAATGACATTATAATCGGATTAAATCAATTTGTCAACCCTTATTGGATCCACAGAGATATATCGATATGGACTCACTTGACTAAACGATAATGATCTCTTATTTCACAAGTGATAATGTCTCTATTATTTATTCCATGTCCATGTATATATATACAATTTTGACCTTCAACCGTTGGTCTGTTGGTTTACTAAAAATGATAAAGATTTTGAGTTTGTCGATTGACCATTGTCCATTGGCTGGTAGGATAATTGATTTTTTTTTTTTGTGTTGTCCGAATATACTTGACTTTGTATTGTTTAGTTTTGCTGCTGCTGCTGCTAATTGGCCTGATTAATTGACCAGTTTTTTTGGTGAATGGTTAAAAACTTGAATGGTGATATGATGATTTTTATCCATATTGCTATCGATAATCGGTAACTAACTGACTATTATTATTATTATTTGGTTTGGTTGCATTTTTGATCCATAAATTATCTTGTCAAATGTTTCAATAATGAAATGGCTTTGGCTTTGGCCATATATAATTATCATCATGGACAATATCGTAAGAACAAATGATGATTATGAATGGCACGGTGGAATGAAAATGTAAACAAAGCCAACAACAACAACAAGCAAGCAAGCACCACTGTCTATGTTATGGATGAAAAGGGTTTTTGTTTGTTTCATACCAAAAATGTGGCTAATGGGTTCATTCATTCATTCATTCATCCATTGAAATACGAACAAAAGGCCAGAAATTGTTTGCCATTGAATGAATGAAAAGGATTGTATCGATTTGTCATCGCATTTGTTCATCGATTTCATTGATCATTGTGATGTTGCCAAACACCAAACACACACCGTTTCATTATTACAACAAACAGAAATTACCAAAAAAAAAAAAAAAAAAGAAAGAAGAAAAAATGTAACCCGGTTATTACCATAGGTTATACCGTGTTGTTTGATTGTTTGTTTGGCTGTTGTTGTTGTTGTTGTTATATTTACCTTCATCTCATCCATTTATTTATATAAATAGGTCTGGTTGTTGTTGTCGTCGTTGTTATAGTAGTAGTTGTAGTTGGACATTGGCCATTTTACCAATGGTTTTTTTTTGTCCGTCGATTTCACTTGAAAATGATCATCTGTCAACACACACACAGTGGTCCACCGGGGATTAACATCATTTCCACCGAAAGGATTCTGCTGATTCTATGAACATCAATGTGTGTAAGCATCGATGCTTTTTGTACGATTGGATTTTTTTTCTCTTTGCTTTCACTAAGTTACTTTGTGTTTTTTTTTCCATTCTCTATGCTCGGTTTGTTTAGAATTGAATATTTTTTTTCCAGTTTGTTTGGTTCCATGACCAACTGAATGACTGGCCATTCAAAAATATCATCGGTTTATTCACTTGGTGAGCCGATTTAGCTTTCATCATCATCATCATCATCATTATTATGAATCATTATGGACCCAAGCAAAGTTGGGTACCTTAAATGTTACTAACTTGCTGGGTATGAATGAGAGAGAGAGAGAGACTGAAAAAAAACCAAAATTCATCGAACCGTTTCATAAATGAAAACAAACGGCCCTGGCCATCAAACATTCTCTTGACGACCAATCTATTGAAATACACCCGTTGTTGTGCAAGATAATTTTCAAAGTTACAATTAATTGACATTTATAATATAAACATGGACCAATATACTACTATATATACCAATCTAGGAGAATAAAATTCAATTCAAACACACACACACACACACAAAAACCAAAGAAATATATTCATCATGCAGGTTGACGGTTGATGATGTTGATTTAATCGATTCTAATTGGAAGATTGGTTATTTCAATTGCTTAATTGTTTACATTTGAAATTTTCCATTAACTCGTTCTTTTACCTGGATCTCATTTCTTTTTTTTTTTTTTTTTTTTTGTTGAAATCATTGTGTTCACGTCAATCATGATGATGAAAACGGGAAACGCTTCGGGACATTTCAATCAAATTAATTTTTGGCTTGAATTCTTGGTTTTTGCTCTGAAAATAAATAAATAGAATGACATGACACACACACACACACACACACACAACAATAATGTTGTATAACATCATTTTTGAATTTGTGATTTGATTTGATTTTTTTTTTTGTTTGCATGATTTTGGTTGATGCTGTGGTTATGTGTTTGTCGATATTTTCTTCGTTTTTTTTTCATTTGTGTGGTTGTGTGTTTTGAGTTTGATTTGAACACTGTATGTGTGTGTGTGTGTTTTGTTGTTGTTGTTGTTGCTATTTGATTCGATTCAATTCAATTGATTTGTATTCAATAGATTCGTAACTAGCCCCAAAGTGTTTGTAATGGAAACCAAATTGCATCGCCCATTATCTAGAAAAAATGAAAATAGAAACAAATTGATTGTCTGTGTGTGTGTGTGTGTGTGTGTGTGTGTGTGTGTATCTATCGAAATTTCTATTATTGACAATTTTTGGTTATGTATGTAGAAAATATTTTCACATCACTAACAATTTAAAATGATAATATGGCCATGGTTGTTGCAAGACCCTTTTTTTTGACTTGATTTACCGCAAATAGGTAAATTGAGCACATAACACAAACAACCATATTATGCATATATGTTTCAATTGACAATTCAATTGCGATTGGATTTCAAAAAATTGAATCAATCAATGCTTCTCTCTCTCTCCAGTATTCAATCAATACAGATTCAAATATGATGTTAGGTTAAGTATCCACAACCATTAATGATACATCATTGATCATCATAAACAATTATCATTATATCACCCCATAATAACCACATTCAATAATGACAATAATAAAAATGTGTGTGTGTGTTTCACCACTATATCGATCGATCGATTGTTGTCTCTAAAACATATACATAAATCCATGTCGCGTGTTTATTTGTTGTGTGTGTTTAATAGACAGTGTCATATTGAATGATTTACAT